GCACCAACGCTGATTAACCAGCACTGTAATACCACCTCCCTTCAGCTTCCCGCTGAGCTGTTTATTTCGGTCGGCACGGACCGTCTTGAAGCCGGGTACAGACGCATTACAGTCCGGGATGTGTTCATGCAGCCATGTCTCAGTGAAGCACATAATACTGCACTCTCTGTACTCTTTTTGAGACCTTGTTAGCATTTCAAGCTCGTCCATCTTGCTAGCTAGCGATCTCACGTTACCCATCACAACAGTTGGAAGAAACGGTTTAAATCTCCACCGTTTTTCTCTCTGCCTTACCCCTGCTCTGCAACCTCTTCTCTTCCTCTTTAACTCCACTGGGATTTGATGTAGTATTTCGCTGAAAATTTTGATTTGGGAGAGTTTTAACAGTTGATCACGGTTGTAGACAATTTTTTTGCCATGGATACTCATCATAACAACTTGTGAAAAAGGCAAAATATATGTAGAAAAATCTCCTGAGTTGCAGAGATTTCAACTCAGCATATAATATCATCCAAGAAAAAAACTTAATCTGACAGGTAATGTCAATAAAAAGACAACAATATATCCCAAAAAAACTCAAAAGCAAAGGGAGCTGTTACAAATTGCTGCCACCTAGCGGCGCATTCCAGAACAAGATGTAACAAGAAATAAGCTCTTTGTCAAACATTAAATTACTTGGTACGATTTAAATAATACAAAGTTAGCTAGCTGAAGAATATTTTTCATAGTTAAAGAAGTTAAAAGTTGTAAAAACAGCAAATACTATAAAATCTCGTATATTTTCCAGATAGAATAAATTTCAATGACAGCTAACTAGCAGCTAGCTAACTAGCAGTCACAGTAAAGGGCTTTGCTAGCTACAACTCGTCCCCAGGCTAACCTGTATTTTTCGAGGCCTCATCCTCAGCGTTTGTTTTCTCTTTTGCTTGTCTCTTTCGGGGCATTTTCACGTATCCTGAGGTCAAACTGCAGCGTGGCAACTGAATAATTAAACACAAGACAGACGTCAAGTGAGCCAACACAGCCCGGGCGTCAGTGCTGTTACCATAGTAACCAAGTCTCAGGCCAGCCTGTGCGCTGTTATCGCGAGATTTTCCATTGCTGCCAGTATAATTGGAAAACAGGAATCTGGACACATTGGAGGCTCAGCTCAGTCTAGAAGTTTTTAGATTTTAACCTGAAAACTGCACAATTAAAATAAAAAAGCGTGAAATTAATGTAAAGTGTGAGACAGACAGAGAAAAGTCATCCCACTTTCTTTTCTACTTCATCTGCAATATGTTGTTTGATGATTATAGAGGTTACATTCTATATGTAGTTATATGTGGATAAATATTTATACTAAAGCATTTCATATGATAGACTTTAGTAAACAGGTCAGACTTTAAAAAACAAAATCCCAAAATGTTTGCTCAACTATTTTTGATGAATGTTCAGAATGACATGAATAGATCCAAAAATAATAATAATAATAATTATTATTATTCTTTCTCATACAAAACAAAACAAAACAAAACAAAAAGAACTACTTTTCTTTGTTGTTGAGATTGTTAGAAATACATCGCTTGTAACCTGTGCTTCTCATAAAACACTCTCGCCCCAGATGCCCAGGCCCAACAATGGCACAGTTAAAGGACATTAACATTTATAGAAGCATGTCATTAAGCTGGTTAATATTTAAGTGTAATTCTAACGTGACAGTTTGCACTTGACCATGAGGTGCCAAAAAATGTAATGTCCTGTAAAACAGCTCCTGGAGAATCTGAATCCCGGTTGAAAATAGTTCAGGTAAATACTATGATGGCTGGACATTCCCATGGTGGTTATACTTGATATAACTGTTGGAACAGATGAACGTGGAACCTTCAGGCATCTGGAAGTTGTACCCAAAGACCACAGTTGTCTTCCCGATATCTTAGCTGATTTCTTTAGATTTTCCATGTTGTCACAGAAGGAAGCAGTGTGCTTGAGGTGTGCCTCCAATTAACTCAGATGTTGTCAATTAACCAATCCGAAGCTTCGAAAGTCATGACATCATCATCTAGTTTGAAGGCATCTTAGTGGACGGAAACTTCTGACTTTGTAGTAAAAAAAATTCTCTCTCTCATTATTCTGGAGTTTATTAAATAGAAATAATTTTGCTAATCCTAACTGACCTAAAACAGGAACAGTTTAGTCTGATTTAATGTCAGATGGTGAGAAAAAAGAAAAAAGGTTTTGTCTTTTTATACAGTGGATGTAAACTTCTGGTGAATGTTTGAAATGAATGTTTAACAATCAGATTAAGGAGGAACTTCTACTGTTTGTCACAGGTGGCAAGTAACTTAAAAACAAGATTTGCTTTTAATATTTTACACATTAAAACTGGAGTATTTTGCTTTACGTTGCACTGAAATAGATGCTCAGATGAATTCTTCTTGTATCGCTCAATAAAATGTGAAAATCAATCCGTTTTAAATTATTGTAAACATCTGTATTAGCCCTTAAGTCTACAATTAAAACAAGCCTGAGATATTTTCATATGAGCCCTAATCGATGACTGATTAAGTAAAAACGTGTATTTGTGTGAAGGATCTTGTGAGTTTTTCGAAGCACAAACACCAGAAGAAGTATATTCACAATAATGTAGTGCTTTTTATTAAAAAAACAAACAAACAAAAAAACAAATATAAAACAAAAAGTAAAAACCAACAGCATTTTTTCATGACTTAAGAATCATAATTACAAACTTTTAACGAGTGGAAGAAGTTTTTTTTTTTGACAAACTGTACACATCACAAAATGTCCGCCAGTCTGCCATTTACAATGCTTGCATCTTATTTTGTGATTGTCTAAAAATAACTAAACGAATCACACAAAAACACACAAATACAAGTACAAGCATCATACAATGACCGCTATCACAAAACGGAACCATTTTCCTATTTGAAAGAAAAAACAAAACAAAAAAAAAACAAAAAAATAACATGATATTGGGCTGACAGCTTTACTTTTGCTTCTGTCACCGTTTTTAAAAATATCATAACATTTTTATGTTGGTTTGTTTTTTTAGTGTTCAACACTTTGCAGCAAAAAACAAGGAGTACGTTTCTCCTCAAAAAGTAATATTATTAACAATATTCAGTGACGGAGGTGTCGCTGCCGAGTCACTGTCATGTCCCAATGCCTTCTGTGTCCGTTTGACATTCTTCTCGCTCATGCAGTACATAGATGAATTTCATTTATAGGCAACGAAAACTCAGCTTAAGTTTTTATGTCGTCAGGACAGTTTACGGTGAGATTTTCTGGACATTTAAAAAAATCATTTTTTCCTCCGAGCTTAAGTGTCTTCATTATAGTAATACAAACGGAAGAAATTATAATATTATCATCATTATAATAATAATCATAATACATTTAGGGCTGAGTCCTGTACAGTACAATAATAAACAAAATCCATTTTTCAAGATATTGCTTTTGGAGACACTCCTCAATGTAAAGTGTGTATATTTACATAACTTGGCACTGTACAGCTTCCCGTTCCCTTGCTCCCCTCTGTCAGTGTCTCATTCTCGTCTCTGTCAGTTTACCGCACTGGGACATTGCAGGCTGTCCCTTTTTAGCAGAGGCATTTAGGGGGCGGGGGGGGAGAAAAAAACAAAGAAATCTCATCAAATATCACAATTTCTTTTTAAAACATTCTCCATGGCAACCAAGAACATAGTCTAAAGACAAAAAAAAAAAAAAAGAGAGATCTCACATCCCTCCCCCTCCCAATATACAGTATATACCGCCCCACCCGTCTCACAGAATATAAGAAAATATGACCATCACGATACATTTCATGTTAATTGTTTTCCATAGTTTTCTTAAAACTGTTAATTGCCATCGAGCCCTTAATTTTTTTTTTCCGTTTTTTTTTTTAAAAAGGTATAATTTTCATGAAATCTGGCAGAGCGCAGACACACGACAGGTGTGTATGCACGCACACACTCGCACGCAAGGCAGTCGGAGAGCACGGCTGTGTAAGGCGTTACAGTTGAAGCCGGTGTCCCCCCTCCACGCCTGATTTAGTTAAGCTGGTGAATCATGTTACTTCAAAAAAGAGGGGCGAAGCTTGACTGCCTCACGAGAAAATTAAAAAAAAAAAAAATCCGAACAAGACACTTCGACTGACAAAAGCGCACACGCAGTCCTCCCTCCCCTCCCGATGCTCTAAAAACAAACACACCACAGGCCTCTTCTGTTCCTAAATGAGTTACTACAGTATAACAGGAAAAAGATAATAGACTTTTTAACTCGCTTTTTTTTCTTTTTGTTGTTTTTTTTTCAGACTGCATCATCCAATACTGTGAGAGTGTTAGTGTGTTTTCATTATAGATACATTACACAGAGCTTCACAATATCCATGGTACCAAAAGTGCAGTTCACCGCCCTTGTTCTCTCGTTTCTTAAGAGCAGCATCTGAGCACACCGCTCAACGTTCTCCTATGCCACGTTCCCCCCACGGTCCCGGCGCACATATCCTCTCATCTGTTACATGTTTTTTTTTTTTTTCTCTTTTCTCATTGCAGCTAGGTCCCACTAGGGGGAACAATTCTCCAGCATTCACATCCCCACTGACCAAAACAATCAGCCAACCCGCCCTCCAGCCATCCCCATTCAGTACCACTTGTTTCTGATGCTTGCTAGTGGAATTCATCTACCCATGTTTGAATGTTCAATGCATTTAAGTGCATGGGTTATTTCTCCTATGTTCACTTTTTAAAAACTGGTTTTGCATGATACTACTTAAATAAGCAAGAAGTCCGGGTCAGCTCTCTCGTCAAGCTCCTTGAGAACTCTTGAAGAGCTGTAATTGCCATGGAGTCAGCGATTCCAAACCCCCTCCACCCTCTCAGGTTTGAGACGGCAGTCTTGGAAGAGGTAAACTGGAAGAGGCCCCCAGGGATGCATTGTGGTCCTTAATGGTTGGGTAACCACCAATGCTCGTCTCCCTTCTCGCTGTCTCTCCATTTTCTGCCCCTTGCTCACGACAGTGAAAGGCAGTGTGCTTGACAGGCACGTAGAAACGTTATTTTCTGCCTACGAAATCACCAAATCCGAGCGTCCGCCGCCGTAGCCGCCGCCCTGCGCCCTCCTCAAGGAGATAAGTGACATCGATGGCTGTAGGAGACAGACAGGGGGAGAAAGAAAGAAGGAAGGGGAATTAGAAGGCTGCATACAAACAGAAGAAGGTAATATATGAAAGAAACAGTGAAAGTGAAGGAAGTCGAAGGTGTTTGTTGTCTTACTAATGAAAGGACAAAATGGTGCCTTACAAAGGACTTAATATGAAACAGCTGGTGGGCAATAGTCTACATAAACACATGTATATATACAAAACTAAAAACATTCATGTGTTCATCTCAATATGTTCTAACTTATCCATTTTTCTAGGGCACTCAGGGAAAGCCTGTTTGATCCTCACAGAGAAGGCACAGATCTGTACTTATTAGCAGCTGGATAGTGGATGTTGGATAAACTATGCTCATAAAGGAACGTGTCGCCAAGGGCAACTGTATGTGTATAATTAATGTTTTTTAATGGTTTATAGGACAACAATGGAGTTCTACGGGACACAGAAATTAGCTGCTCCCTGATCAATGCATTGATGATTTAGTCTATAAGAAAAATACAGTAGATCACCACATTTAAAAACTAGAATTAGCCACTCAGTAAGTGTTAACAATTGGTATAGGTTTAAGTAGAGTACCACATATACATGATTACATAACAGCAAACTCTCAGCTGCAGGTTTTGCTTCCACGCAGTTTATTGCCCCAACTTCAAGCCAATTCATTTAAAAATGATAGTTAAACAGTGTTATGTTATGTGTGTAATATGTGTACATGATGTGTCACAGCGATCCTCAGTGAACTGTGGACCTACCCCCCTGCTGTGTTCCCGGTCCCTCACCGTTCTT